TCTAGATAACTAAATATGTATTTCTTAGAAATCACCATGTTGTGGATACTGTAACTCCGTCATTTTGTTCTTGATCGCTAAGTAGCCCTGAGTCAAAACACCAGTTAAAACAATTAGAAACCTTATTTATGGATTTGGAAATTCAAGTACAACACAGCTGATATGGGAATTGGCTAACCAGGACCCTACCCTAGACCCTTCCCTCTGCTTAGTCCTTGACACTCACTCCCTTTGATGTTGAAGGTTGTTTCTTTTTTCTTTTTTCTTTTTTTTTTTTTATTTGAAGGTTGTTTCTTGAGCCTGGAGGCCTGGGGAAAACACCTCACCCTGTTGAATGCTGATGGCATCTCTGATGAACCCGTGTGTAATTCTCTCTCCCAGGCCCCTGCCCTCTCCTGCCTAACCTCCTCTCCCGCCCCTTCCCTCCATCCCAGGAAACCAGCTGTGTTAGGTCTGACCCTCACTTGTTTCTAGCTTCCTCAAGTTCCTCTCTGGCTTTTTGCCAACTTCCTTCCACTCTTGAAAGCTAAGCCCTCTGGAGTTAAAGCAATATGTATTGTTTAAGAAAGCGCTTTCCCACAAAAAGTTTTCCATTAAAATAAGATCTGGAAATTCCAAGGGCTGTCCAGGTGGGGGTGGAGATAAGAAATTCAGACCAGAGTAGGGGAAGCATCTTGAGGAGGCAGTGACACTTAAGCATTCAAAGACAAGCTCTTTGTGGTGGTGGTGCGGGGGCGGGGGGGGGCGGTCAGCTCTGGACTGGGTGCAGTCACCAGGGAGGTCCCTTTAAAAGGCGAATGGTCACGTACATGGGATATCTTTCCGTCTGAAGCCTCCCACTTGCCAAGGGAGACCGCTGAGTCTGTTGAGTTTGCTTTGAGTGGTCTGGGATGGGCTTGGAGATGTCCCGAAGACAGAGTACCTTATTTCCATTTTGTTGGCAATGTTAGATTTATTCTCATTGTGCAGGTGTCGGTCATTCGCAGGGACACGGGAGGTTGGTTCCCTTCCCTTCCACTGGGGAAGCTGGGTGCCCAGCTGTAAGGGGTCTGCTGCCAGCCTGAGGATAGGAGAAGGAGGAGTCATGTGCCGGGTGCGAGGGCATGGTCTCGAGGCAGAATGAGAGACACCCCGCCACTGGCACCCAGCTGAGTTTCCCATGGGCTTCTGCTCGTCAACGGAGCGCTATCTGAGCTTCCAGCTAGGGCGGCTGGAACTTGTCAGGTGCCTTAGGGTGTCCCTGACCAGCCATATACAACACATGAAGAAAACATGGTGGGTAGAAATGCAAGACCCGACCAAACCGCAAGGTAGGAAGTAGTTCCGGGGGGCGCCTGACCCCGTAGGTCAGCGCCCCAAGCCCATCACTTGTTATTGGGAAGCGTGAGGTAGAGAGTGTAAGTAGTTCAAGACAAGCTCAGGGCCACCCCCCGGGACCAACGTCGCCAGGACCACAGGATGGGGTTCTAAATGTTGCCAAGCGCATCCTAAGTAAGAAGGGGTGTGAAGGCTCCGGGGAGAGGCTGGCTGGCCGCCGGAGCCCTGAAAGGAAGAGCCGGGGGCTACTTGTATGCTGCACCTGATGCGCCTGCTCTGGGGCTTGCCCTCCTGGAGCGCATGCGCAGTGGAATGCGGGGCATTTACTACGGCTTGATAAAGATGGATAAAAAGGAGAGGACTGGACCTCACCCCATGCCTCCCTGACCCTCGGGAAGTGTGGAGTTGTGCACATAACCACCCTCCGAAGCCCCAACATACACTTTCCAAGCTTCTCACCTGGATCTTCTGGGACCCCAAGCCAGGTTTAGGATGGGAGTTACTAACAGTTTGGGGATTTTTCAAATGGTCCTGTGGTCAGAAATTACTGGGGAGGATTTGGGTGTGCTGTGTGTAAAGGGGAGAACGTGTTCGAGCAACATTTACAGAAGAGGCGGCTTCTTACACTCAAAAGACATAATAAAACCCCTTACAGGTTAGCACCCCCCATGGCAGGTGGGAACGAGCATGGCTCCAGCGATGTGGAAACGTAATATAGTCCCATCCAGAAAAATTTAAGTTATTTAAGTTTAAACCAGTCCACAGAAACAAAAGACACACATTGCAAGGCTGTATGTATGTGGATGTTTATTGTTTGCAGTGGTGAAAAACTGAGGCCCCCTGAAGGTGCATCAACAGAAGTGATGAAATCAACCAGGGTCTGTCTGGTCTGCGGAGTAGTCATTACACAGCAATCAAAAAAGACAAGTTTGCTAACCAGCTAGCTGTTGAGCTGGAAAGAGTTTCATGACGCAGCATTAAGCCACAGAAGCAAATTGCTGAGGGAAAAATGTGATATGTACAACAATTATGGTATTTTTAAAAGGAGCAATCAAATTAAAAAAAAAAAAAACAAAACCAACCAACCCTCCCTTATATACCTAAGCACAGTGAAAACGTGGAGACTACAGATCAGGCAGGAAGGAGGAGTTGGGTTAGGGGAGGCAAGAATTAAAACATCATAGAAAAATGAAAAAAGCATCGAATAAAGTTCTGTAAAATAAAGAGAATATTTGAAATATAAAAGCTGATCTATAGTATCATTGCTGATATGTACATTTATATATGCAAATGGAGAAGGCCTAGGAGGTAAGAGGCAGATTGAAATCACTGACTTGATCAGATACCGGGTTGCAGGGGGAATGTGGTGTTCTGGATTTCTATTGTAATTTGAATGTCACTTTTACAACAATTACATTTTCAAAAGTCAGCACTTGGAGGGGACAAGAAAGCAGTAGTTGGTGAAGTTATTCACCTTTAAAACGACCGTTTTGATTCAGGCGTCCCTCACAATGTCTTACACATGGCAGGCACCCAACAACCTTGGCTAAAGTGAAAAACCAGACTCGCAAAGCCTTCCCTGGACCTCATCGTTCGTAAACAGCAGCAAGGATGTTCAAGCGCGTGTTAAAAGCTTCATGAATAAACTTGGCATTTGAATCACCATACACAAATGCCCTTCACACCCCATTTAAATCTGGTTTCTGGAAATGTTAATGAAATGAGAAAAGACAGCAATTACAGAACATTGGCCTGTGTTTGCCAAAGAAATGAAGTCATTTTGCTTCTGTGGCTCTGCGTGCCCTTTTGGTTAAACTCAGCAGAGCTGGACTGAAAATTTCAACACCAGCCTACTAGTAAGTCGCTTTTCTTTCTTTTCTTCCTCCCTCTCCCTCCCTCCCTTCCTCCCTTCCTTCCTTTCTCTCTCTTTCTCTCTCTCCCTTTCTTCCTTCCTTTCTTCCCCCCCCCCGTCTTTCTTGCTATTGTTTAAAAATTAAAAATAAAAAACTGACATGCAAGAAATAGCCTGTACATGGTCTGTACTTTTATCCTGTGCTCTGCTCAAGAATTCATCAGGACTGTAGAAGCGGATGGTGAGGGCAGTGCTGGCAGCTTGAGGACTAAGGCCTCCTGGCATCCTCCATCCCCCTCTCCTACAGCACTGATCCCCCAGGCCCTTCGGGTAAGGCTACTTGCTATCCTGGGCTGCCCCGCCCCCAAGTCCTTCACTGACTTTCTCTGTTAAAACCTTCCACAAGTATCCTTGAGAAGAACACTGATAGCAGTGGAGGCTCAGAACGAGAGGTACCATTATCAACATTCATGTTTTAAAATACTTAGGATACACTGTCTGAGAACACACATCCCTGCCCCCTCCACACACTCTCTTTATTTTTTAATTTTTTAAAATTTATTTTTATTTTTTTAGACTCTTTTTAAAGGAGAATTGATAATAGTCAGTAACCGGTGAGTCCAAATATGGTTCAACAATTCCTGGGGGTCCCCAAGAGGGACCCCAAGAGGTCCCCACCCCAGAGGGCCTATGGGGACATCTTAGAGCATTAGACTCATTATTTGTATTTAAGCCCTATTCATATTTTGCACTATATATTTAACTAATAAGAGGTAGATACCAAGGACCACATCTCTTGCTGATGGTAAGAGTGAATTCTTTGCTGGGTCTCCCTAAAGATACGGTTTCTCTTGAGACTTTTTGGCAAGGAATTATTTTTTTATAGTGATAAGTGGCTCACAGAAATGACTGCCCCACTCCCAACAGCTGTTAAAAGAACAGCTGGCAATTGGCCAGCAGACCCATGTTAAGGGAGTAGAGTTTAGGATTCTCCCACGCAGGTACAGAAAAAGAGGCACCTAGTGCTAGGGGAACGTTACAAAGAAAATGTGTCATTTAAAAATATTTTCTCAAATCCAGGTGCTATTTCAGAGAGAGGAACAGCAAACACTTATCCTTCTTGTGAAAGAAATCTTTGAGTAGACACATCCCACTGTGGAAATGGTCTGCTCTGGGAATTTAGCCAGGCAAGATCACCTTACACCATGATTTCTGGCCTTTTCTCTCGCTTTACCTCTATGTTCGTCTTATCCCTTTACTGTGTCTTAGTTTAATTAGAAGAATTAAATACAACCTGCCTGGAGCAAGGTAGCAGGATCCATGGCCATCAGCTCAGGTGGAAATCTGGGTTTGGGTTTAGGTTGGGTGAGCCCTAAAGGAATCACAGGGCAGCTCTGGGATTGCACCGAGTGGAAGATCTGGGGTTGGACAAACCAGGATCGCATTCTGGCTCTGCTACTTTCTAGCCTCTTCAACTTTTGGAGCCTCAGTTTCCTTATCTACACGGTGGGAAGAACCCCTGTCTCTAGGAGGGGTTGGGGATAAGGGGAAGTGTATGGCCCCATCCCTGGCACGTTCTCTTCTCTGTTCAGCGAACATTTTTCTACTGCAGAATGTGACATGCCAGACACTCCCTGGGGAGCCAAGGAGGCAGGGACTGCCAGGTCGCCCTTGGGAGAGCCCACAGGGGTTCGGTACACACACATTTACCGGATACAGACAGATTCCCCAGGGGAGACTTGCCAGTGCGCCTTGAAGGACTGAAGAATCACAGCTCTTGGGTACCTTTGGGACAGACAGGGTTTGGGGCTTAGAGGAGAACTGGGATACCCCAGCCGATGGCTCCCCCTCTCAACCCCGTGGCCAGCCGGCCCGCCTGCAAGCTTATTTCACAATAAACCAAATGAAAACCAGCAGGCAGAGCAGCACGGGCTGGTCGGTGCTGACCCGAAGTCCCGCTCCCCTCTCCAACCAAAAATCACAGTGCTTGATGGAGCAGAGCTCCCTGATCAGCCGCCACAGGACCCGCTGGTAAAGCTTGTTGTCCTGTTTCTCTCGCGACAGCTCCTCCTGGTTCGCCACCTGGGTGGCGTTGATGCAGCCGCTTACGAACTTCTCCCTGGTCACGTTGGCCTCTGAGCAGCCGTTGTAGTGGATCCCGTCGGGGAACTGCCAGTAGTTGGCCTCGTAGTACCTGTTGCCCTCGGCTCCCAGGTCGACATCCAGCTTCCGGCCTTGCTTGATGAAGGCTCCGGGGCGGGTCTCCGCTGTACGTGCCTCGGTGACCTGCGAGGTACTGGGCACGGGCTTCCGGTTCCACTTGACTCGGTGCTTGATGCCTCTGGCCTTGACTGCTGAGAGTTGGCTGAACAGCAGGACACAGACAATGGCCAACCAACATCCGCTCAGATGCTTCCTCATTGTGCCAGGATCTGCAGGAGCAAAAACCCAGGCGGTTACCTTCCCCAGGGGGTGGAGGCTGGTGGGGAGGACTTGCGGGCTCCCCTGCCTCCCTCTCCCATGCAGGCGATTTTAAGCAAGGAATGCATCTTTGCACCATTCAGGTTTTTTTTTCCAAAAGTGGAATAGTTTCACCATGCTCACGTTGCACAGACTACATCAATACCCAGGTTCTTGCTTTTGCCTGGAGTTATGTGCATTCAGGGTGGAGAGCTGATTTTCTCCGACAGATAAGATGCTCCAGCTGGCAATTACAAAGCCTTTGAATAGGCATGGGAAAATGAGCGAGTAATGACATAATACATATAGGTTTTCTTTGGTGCACCCAAGTCTTTCCAATCAGAGGATCTCTGGAGGAAAATACGCAGAAGCGTTGAAACCACAGGCTTCTGAGCACGGACTGTATTGTTAATCTTCCCTCTTTATTCTGTAGCTCTAAACTGGCTCTGTCTCTGACACATTCTGCAATCCATTCTAAGAAAGTCCCGAAGGGCTTTAGGGTAATGATGGAGAGAGGTGGAAACGTGGTCAGGAGACCCCTGCCTCCTTCTGTGTCAGGGGTCAAGATGCGCTAGAGAGGTGGCTCCCAGTCTCACCCTGGGGACAGAGTAACCCCACCGTCTCCCTCACCCAGCACTTACTATGATCAGCCACTGACATTGACTGCCTTAATTCTCACACAGGGTGGGTACATTATTATTTCCCTCAGATGAAAGTTGTCCCAGGGTGGCGGTACCTGGGTGGCTCAGTTGGTTAAGCATCTACCTTTGGCTCAGGTCATGATCCTAGGGTCCTGGCATAGAGTCCCGCATAGGGATGCTAGCTCAGTGAGGATCTGCTTCTCCCTCTGCCCCTCCTCCCTGCTCACTCTCAAAAAATAAATAAAATCTTAAAAAAAAAAAAAAAAGGTGTCCTGGGATTCAGAGTGGGGAAGAGATTTGCCCAAGGCTGCACAATAGCGGCTGGCAAATTTGAAACCAGTCTGTCTGACTTGTTCCCATATGCCTACTTGCCATATCCCAAGGCCCTTCCGTTCTTCAGGAGGGGATGGTGCCCGAGTTTTGTGCTTTTGACTCTCTGGGCATGAAGGGCAGAACCGACAGGCCCTAAGCTGAGCAAAGAGCAGACTCCATGAGGAATTTTAGAGGAGATGGGATGCTGGGGAGGATCGGAAGGTCTGGGGGAGCACAGAGGCTCCCGGGTCAAGGTGGTGCCTGGGCACTCGAAGGGTTGCTGATGACATCAGGGATATCCCCCCTTCCCCCAGCCCCCCAGTCTGGTTCTTTGTCACATCTGTCTCCTGAAATCACAATAGCTATTGTGGAAATATATTTCCCAAGGTCAACTGTTCAGGGCATTCCGGCACCTGGACCTTGGTCGGCATGGATAAGAAACCCCAGAACCACGGCCAAGCTCTGTCCTAGATGAAGTTCCACTGTGAGCCCATCAGTGCCAGGGCTGAAGGGGGTTCAAAAGTCGGCTTGCTTAGCCCCTAACACCCCTTCCCTGCAGAATTCCCAAAGTGATGGGTCCACCTCTGTTAATATGTTCAATTGCGGTGTGACTCTGGTCCTTATGTAGGAAAAAAAGCAAAACACAACCTCCGTGCATGTCCAGTGACCTCTGGATGTCTGCAAAGCGGCTTCTGTCGACCTTTCTTTACCTGCAGGCATGGTCTAGTCTCTGGCTCAGGGAGGCCATGAGTGTGTCCAGCAGTAGTAACCTGAGCACCCACCTTACCCCACCACCACCCCCAGTGACCTCAGACCAGCTTTCGCCAAAGAGATCCAAGCACGAAGCCAATGTTCATTTGTCTCTTAAATAGGGGGCCACCTCTCCATGCCATCAACCCATACTCTTTTAGTAGGGGAAATGTTAAATAAGAATAATAACACAAATTACAGGTGTGTCAAGTTAAAAGAAAGACATAAAAGCATAGTGATCTTAGAAAGTCATCTTCATAGTGAAGGGCTTGAAAGCAAGAAGAAAATCCCAACCAGCTAACCCTAAAGTAGCATTTTATTGCAAGCACCAAAGCCAGTGGTGCAACACCAGGCCTGTGTCCCCTGACTCGGGACCCACTCCAGGAGATGGAAGACAGGAAACCGCTGCATGGTTTGCAGTCTGATCAGAAATGCGCGACCCTGACCACAGAAACGGAATCCAGCGCGAACTCGGCCTCCCCACGTACCTTGGGCTCTCTCTGGAAGCTTGCCTCTGGAGCTTCAGCAGCACTGTCCGCCAGCACTGCCCTCCCACCTATGTAGGAGATGTGGGGGAGGGGGCTTTCCTGCTGCTCTCCAAATAGGGCGCCCTCCTCTCTGGGCAGGACCAATCACGGGTTCCCAGACACTCCTCTGCCTTGAGGAGAGACCTCATCCCTCTTCACAAATAAACACTGTGTGGAGATCTTGATGAAGTTCAGAGAGTTGCCTTTGATTTCACTTTTTTTTCTTTTATGTATGGACGTGTGCATTTACTTATTTACTTCCTACTGACCAGTTTATCACAAAGGACATGACAAAGGAAACAAAGGAACAGCCAGATGAAGAAGTACATTAGGGCAAGGTCTGGAGGGTTCCAGCTGCAGGAGTGCTCAGGGAGACTGGGGGCACAACCTGCCCCATTGCTCATGAGTTCACCAGCCTGGGAGCTCTCCAGACCCCTCTGTTGCCAGTAACTGGGGATAAGAACCAAATACTCTAACCAAAGATACTCCTATCACCCCTAACAATCAGGAATTTGCAAGGTTTTAGAAGTTGGGTGCGGGACACTGGGGACATTATTATACCAAAATGTCACAGCTGGACAGATGGATGGAGGCATCTGTCCAGAGTCTGGTTAAGTCTGTTTTTAAGACTGGTGTTTTCAGAGGTGCCTCATAAAACAGAAATGAACAGCGTTAGAAGGAAAACGTTTTCCCATCTGTATCCGCAACAGAAGGTGTTGCTGGTATGTATGCGGACTGGCACCCACAGACCAGCCTCCACCAGCAAAGGGGCTTTGGCCAGGCAGCCTCTGTGGGAAGGGTTTAGTCCAGAAGAGAGTGAGACAGCAGCTGAGCCATAGGGGGGCCCGCCTCCCAGCGGGGACTCTCAGAGAGCAAGGTACCCCACCTTCTTTGGGGAGGTGGAAAAGCAGGTTCATGTTGTCTAGAGGGACACATGTTGTCTAGAGGGAAAGGCTTGGCTGGCACTTTAGGCTGTTGGGTCACGCAGGAATGCTTGAGATGCTGAATTAGTCCAAGTTCAGGAAGTTTAGATCTATGGACACCCACAGGACGGACGCAGATGGAGATGAAACTGACCCGGTTCAAACATGGTGGGGGCTGGGAGCGAGCTTCCTCGGACAGGTGGGGGTGCGGGGGTGGAGGGTCTGGGGATGGGGTGTTGAGGTGGGGGAGGCAGCTGGAGAACCAGCCTTTCCTGGCAGGAGGGGCTGCGCATAATTACTCCTTGTACAGAACGGACCTACTCAGGTGTCTCTGTTTCAGTTATTACTGCAATGCGAAATCAAAAGTGAATTCTGGAGGAAAATACGGAGTGAGATTAGCATGTAAATAAATGTGATCTTTATCCTGATTGTGAACCATCGATGTTGGCTGGATTCGCTTCAAAGCCCTTTTGCGAACCAAGCTGAAGTGTTCTCTCCCATAAAGACCAGCAGATGGCGCCACGGGTCCACAAAGACCTCTCACCCTGGAGGTGGGCACTTCCCCCCTCCACCCCCGCCGCTAACCCCTGCAGGGATTTGGGGCCTCCAGTTGGGCCTTTCTGTCTCCTCTGCCTTTACTTTTAAAATGTATTTTATTTCCTTTTTCTTTTTTAAAGTTTTATTTTCTTCCTAGAATCAGAGTCTTCTGGTCCTGTGAACACATAACACACACACACACACGCACACACTTCAGCAGGGCAAGCTCCCTATAAACTATTTGCAAAATGCAGAAGAAAAGAAACAAAACAAAAAACAAAAACCAAATTCCTATTTCACTATCCAGAGACAAGCATCAGTACAAGGTTCTTAATTAGGGTTGGGGGCATTTAGAGCTGGAAAGGGCTCGGAATCCTCTAGGAGCTCCTTCACACCATGAAGTCATGGGGCCAGATAGGCTCAAGGTCACCCCGCCAGGCAGGCTGTGCTGCCTGCCATCCCCCCCTCACCAGTGCGGGCCCATTGCGCTGTCCTGAACTCTGTGTACTGTCCACTCTGCCCGTCCGCATCTGGTGTGAGCACCACCAGGTCCCTCCACCCCTCTTCTTTCTGTTCTCTTGCCGAGGAGGACTTGGCGCAGAAGGCGGTGGGAGGTTGGTGCAGAGCTGATGAGACTGCAGATTCCTCTTGGCAGTGAACAAAGAGGCACAGAGGAGCATGGAAGATGATGGAAGTGTTCGAGAAGATGGGAGGAACTCTGAAAGCTGCAAACAAGGCAAGAGAACAGCTACCCAGCTGCAGAGAGTCCAGAACTCCCCAATTCTGCCTGGCGCCGGCTCCCCGCCTACAAACATGAACAAACAAACAGCCAAGGAATCAGTGAGAGAGCCCCAGTCGCTCCCGGAGCTGAGACACCAGGGCCCGGTGAATTGTGTCTTCTGGCGTTGACAGTTACTTGAGGAATAGCACTGATTGTGGATCATCCTTGATCAAACAGAGAGACCGAGATGGATCCCACTGGGCTGGGTGCTCCGTGATGCAAGGGAAGGGACTCCGGAGGATTTTTCTAGAATGAATGAGTGGTAGAAAATTACGTGAATTAAAAAAAAAAAAAAAAATTGGCCGGGAAAAGCTGAGGTCTAGCATGCCTGAGTGGGTCGTTGTTCTATCAGTTCCTACTTTGATGAGATCTGGGAACTCTGGATAGCATTTATAAATACAGTGGGCATTAAGAGACAAGACACCAGGCTGAACTGTTCCCAGAAGGGCGAGTGTGTAGGAAGATCACCCACTGTTTCTTGGCTTCCTGAAGATTTATCGAGTGTCAGTCATGTGTTTCGACCATGCTGTGTCAAAGGAGGGACAGCATAAACTTGGGAAGGCAGCAAAGGCAGCTCATGGCTCCCCTTAGCTTAGAGAAATAATTGAACTGTGTTTTGGAAAATAATACTAACAAGATAGTTGCGTAGCGGTCTAAACCGCTGTACTCAGTTGTTTAGTGAAGCCTTCCGTTCACAAGAAGTGGTATCCTGATGGCACAGCATTATGCATTTTTAAAAGCTGAACGCACCCTTGTAACCTGCGACAGAATGAGAAGTCGAACAATGACAGCATGCTCAAAGCCTGTCTCCCCATTGTATCACTGCCTTCTCGCCTGACTCAGGACACCCTCGCTTACCTTTGCCTGTTGGTATTTCATAGAAACAGAATTATGGAGAAGCTAATCTTTTGTGTCTGTCCTGCCCAAATTGGGTCATCTAGATTCACCCACAATGTGCGGAGCTGTCGATGGTTCATTCCATCATGAGACAACTCCACGATCATCTTCTCGGCTCCCCTCATGGCGGGCATGTGGGTGGTTTCCTGTTTGGGGGGTTTCCAGCTTGGGCTGCTGTGAACATTCAGACATGTGCCTCTTGGTGGAATGTGATCACTTTTCTGTTGGCTGTACACTCTCAGGGGGGACTTGCTGGGTCATAGACTATGTTCAGCTTTTATATTCTTAGAATTTGGATTATGGCTTTGAACAAATTTTAAATAGCACCTTCCTCTATAGCTTGTCCACTATTTTCTTAAGCGCAGTGGGGGGCTCTTCCTTTGGGGGTCCCAGAGCACTAGACCTGTAGCTGAATAGTTGCACAGGGCACCCTTGCTGTTCATGTGTTCATTTGAGCTCACAGAAGTCAAAGGACCATGCTCCACTTGCCCCACACATAGCATGGTGCCTAGAATCTAGAAGGAACTGAGTTCCCTTTATCCCTTCTTATCTGCGACCTGGTTGCACAAGGATCACAGCTGCCAGGGTGGACTGTGTGCCAGGTGGCAGGACCAACCCTCCAAGTCACAGCAGGTCATGATATATAGAGGAAGGAGGAGGAAAGCTAATAGGCATAAAGGCAACAGTTTTAGAATTCATTTTTAAAAAAATCAAGGGCAGCATGTGAAGACCTATCATGGTAATTGAAAGTCCGCTGGGGTAAAATTGTCTAGAAGTGGAACAGGAGGCCCTAGAGGAAGCAAATGCTTCTCTCATTGAAGGGTCATTTCCCCTGCAGTTTGCTGCCCTTTCCTGCTCAGACCACAGCAGGTGCCAGGTGCTGGACTGTGTGGAGCTGATGCGGGGGAGGGAGATGTGACGGGAGGGGATGTGTAAGGGTTGGGAGATGGGGAATCTCATGGCATACTGGGGACCACTGAAGGGGGTTACTCATCTTGTGTCCCCAAATGTTCGTGGAGTAGGATGTTTGTAAATGAGAAGAGAGAGTGCCACCAAAGCTTTAGGGCACAGAGAATAGGGTGAAGTCTGTGTTTTAAGGTGGTCCAGAAAGGGGCAACCAAGGAAAGGGGAGAAACTCCAGCCTGGAGACCCCAAGAATGGCAGAGAGTGCCAGCCTTGGCCACCATGTCGAAGTTCCTCACTTGGCCGCCCACCACTTTTCTCACTTGTCTCTGATGGTTTTTTAGAAGAATAATTAACCGGATAATATGATGTGCCATTTGTCCTCTTCCCACAATACGCAAGAAAATGTCCAAAAGGAGAAAGGCCTGCCCCAGGTAAAAGGGGTTAGCTATTGTGGGGGTCCCTGGGTGTCAGAGTCGGCTGAGTGTCTGACTCTTGGTTTTGGTTCAGGTCTTGATCTCAGGGTGGTGGGATCGAGCCCTGAGTCGGGCTCTGCATTCAGCATGGAGTCTGCTGTCACGTAAGCTGCCCTCTGTCTTAGAGGATAAATGGTGTATTTACCAGACCTCATTCTGGCAGGCAGAAGTTCAGCTGCGAACGGGTTTCCATGTTTCCAGGTTTGTGTAAGAGGTATCACGGCTCCCCACCACCACCACTGTTAACGCTTATCACACGTTGCTTGCCAGTGTTGGAAGCACAGAATCCAACAAAAATCCTTTGCCCTGAAATAGTATAAAGGGCAGTAAGCTAATATCTAAAAGCTTTGCTGACATCTGGGCATGTGTTAACATGTTCACTACTGGCCTGCCAGAAATACTAATGAAACATTTACTATTGTGAAGGCCACTAGCAGGAGCTGAAAAGGTTCACGCCAGAGCCTGGGTCTGTGACAGAGAAAGGGGAAGGACTGGAGCACGGTCAAGATAGGTTGTACTAGCTGGAGAAA